ATGAACCTTCTGGTTCCATAAAATGCTACACAATTAGCGGCTTCTCAAGAAGGGCTCAGCTCCATGAGTGAGTGAGTGAGAGAGCTAGGGTAACAGAGTGTTTAAATTTAGGGATGGTTGTTTACATTGCATTCAAAAGGATGAGGAAGTAAGTGGTGGTATATTAATTTGAAATATTGTTTAGGCTTGCACGTTATTAGTGGATCTAAATTTCTCCGAATTGTGTTGTGTTTTTTCCAGTGGGAATTACCTAAGAACTTAAGTTGGCTACACTGACTGAAAATGTCGCCGGTTTAGCCATTACCTCTAGGGAGTAACAGCCTCTGCCGGCTCTTTATGTCGTCACAGCCATTCTGCTATTGGACGTTGCGAAACAGCTGTTATACTCGTAAGAAATGAGAAAGAGTCTAAACACTGATTTGGTTAGACTGCCTTTCCAAATGAATCAAAGTAACGTCTGAGAATTTCGGGGAGTTTCTTTTTTTGAGTATAATAGTTTGGATACTCAAGAGACGTAATTTATATTCTTAGACTCTTGACTTAAATATTGAGAGAACACTTAAAAATAGACAGCGGTAGGTCTGTCCGAAACTTCGCTGTTATATGTTTTACAGTTAGCCTAACCTGAGCTCTAACTTTCATGAAACTACACGGTAAACGTTTTACCTTAGTTGCTAATCATAGCAGAGGCTTGAATTCCCGTCACAGTGCACTACAATTCAAATAGAAAATTTGAATATGAAACACCAGTTCTACGGAGAATTGTGTTTTTTTTTATGCCGTGCTTATTATTATCTTCTTGCATGCACTGTGAAGGATTAAGTCGATTCCCTTATTGTCTTTTCCATATATACAACATAAGTTAATATACCAAAGCCCTCTTGAGAAGCCTTCAGGAGATTGAGAAATTCTTTCCCCCCCCCCGAACCCAACAGTACTTTCTTAGTCTCCCATTGGTACCCGTCTCGTGCCTTATGAATTCAGTTTATACTCCCGTAATCTATTCTTTTAAGATGACTTTTATACTTGTAAGATTTGAGGTTTTCACGGCGGTCACTATGAAGAATGCCTTTTTCTGGGATATGGCGCCGTGTAGATATTGTGTAAACCGACGTTTCGGAGTAACTAATCGCCTCCATCTTCAAGGTATAAAGAATCCGCTAGCGAATGAGCAAGTGGCTGCATCTGGTGCTCACGTTGGATCCTCGCTCGCGGATTTTTTATACCTAGAAGATGGAGGCGATACGTTCCTCCGAAACGTTGGTTTACACAATATCTACACGGCGTCACATCCCAAAAGAAGGCATTGATCAGTTTTAATTTTGTCTTCAAACTAATCTCACTTCCCCAAAGCTGTCTCTTTCCTTCAGGTGTTCAAAACTAACATTCTGTGTGATTTTATCAAATTTCAAACGTTTCTCCCATTTCATATTCATTGATTTGATCACTAAAATATCTGGCGAGCTTCTTGTTATGCAGTTTATTAAATCCGTATTTTATTTACTCTTTCCTCCTCATATTCCCTTCATCGATGTGTTGTAAAACACCTTCAATCAACATTCTCTGCAACCAGTTACAAACACAACATGCCACTTCAGTTCCTAACTCAATATAATATATCCTTTTTGGTGCGAAGGTCTGAAGGAAAGCGACAACTGGAAAGACCTAGACGTAATGAGATATTAGTGAAGTAGGAAGAGGTGGTATGGGCTTGATTCATCTGGCTCAGGATAGGCACCAATGAACACAGTAATGATATTTCCGTGAAATGTTGGGAAATTCTTGAGCAGTTGTTCTACTGACGGCTTCTGAAGAAGGGCTTGGCTCATGGAGTTACTTATAATGGAATATATGATATATACAGTAAGGACAGTCTACATAACAATATTTCTGAAAGGACAACAAAATAGACACTAATGCGTCAACATTTTGTTTTTATTTGTTCTTCACGCTGCATATTCCGACCCTTATTTTTGGTCTTCATCAGGCGCATGATAAATACAAGCATTATTTAATTGAATTGTATCTTTAATTCCAATATGGATCCATATGTATTTAACGTAGCCACTCACCTACCTGAATGGCGACACTATGCCAACACACTCAACTACAGAAGCGCCTTTATAGCCCCTGGCACCACCACTCTCAACGTACACTAGCTGGCGTCTTAATCCAACAATAAATACAGATAACTCGCATGTAACCCACTCATGCATTGGAAGCGACATCTTACCGCCCGATATTCACACAACTAAAATGAAATTTTCAACAAGCACCAGAATCAAAAACACAATTTACAGTTTAGCAACCGGAATAACATGCTTTTATGTCGAACAAAAACTCTGCGAGAGCCAGGGGGGTGAGCGCGTAGCAAGTTATGACACCAGGAAGGATGGAAAGAAGGAGCCGGTGGCAGCCAGCGAACTCTGAGAGCGAGTGCCAGAGACAAGGGAATGGCTTGTCGCAAAGAGATGGCAGCACCATAGGGAAGGAAAGGAGGTGGGATACGAGTCCAACAGAACGGCTCAGGTCTTTCACTTTGTTTGGTTTAGCAATAGGATCCGCTATTGTTTCTCCATCCTGCCACAACCGGTATTTAGTGGGCGACAGAATTATCACGTAAATAAAAACCGATTTATTACTATACGTCTGTTTTGAAATGAATAGGGAATACTACTCTGTCGGTTTATTTTGTGATAAGTTGTAGGTTGTGACGAGGTAACTGTGTGAACGTGCACGCGAAATCTCTGTCTTATGTTCCGGTAAGTGAATTCCCTTGTCTGAGAAGGGACAAACAATTTTGAATCCCGTTTGATAAGGATGTAAAGTACACGTTCAGAAATATCAAATTAAAATGTATTTATTAATGATGTGATAGAAGAATTGCAGATTTTCAGCTAACTGCCAAGAATTTTCGTGTTATCTCTTTAAGCTTTCTTTCTTGCAATTGATTTTTATTGTTATCACAGACATATTTCATAATTTATCCATTCTTTCCAGGTCGATAGACATGAGTATAAAACAGTGCTCTAATGATATGTAACATTAATTTTGTTTTATTTCTTAAAAACAAAGTGATTTCCTAAAGCAAACACATCAGCTGATCAAAGGACATGTTAAAACAGTTGTAATCATATTAATCAAAACAAACGAACAAACAAACGTATAAGACATTTTCTCTCCTGTACGCTCTCTCTTGATTTCTAGACTTTTTTTAATTTTTTTATTGTTAGTGGGGTGGGACTAAATCCCTTGTACTGCGGCCACTTCTGGCCTGTTGTACCAGCTACAGATGATAGGTGAGGGTGATTGTGGATAAATTGGTGGAATGAAGATTGGCAGGGGAAACCGAAGTAGTCGGAGAAAACCTGCCCCAGCGCCACTTTGTCCACCATAAATCCCACTTGACCAGACCCGGGATCGAATCCGGGCCGCCGCGTTGGGAAGCCAGCGACTAACCGCTTGAGCTATGGCGCGGCCTGGATTTCTAGACTTACATGGCCGTTTAATTATTACAATAAATTCATAATTTGTTTTATATGATATGCCGATTCGTTGTGCATGGCAGTCGACCTCAGTGCTTGTTATTCACATGCCACTTCGTCTCTTTCTGACCTTCTTTAGCGAGATAAATATTAAACATTATTAATGTGAAGTTTCTGTGAGTGTAATTTGATTTTTATATGGGAGCGAAATTAGGGAGGGAGGTAACCGAGGTTTGGGGAACTTTTGTGACCCTTTTCTGCCTGCTGTGTTATATTAGTGTCTTGCTTGGCTGACTCTTCGACCCTGATAATGGAGACGATACATTCCTCCGAAACGTCAGTTGACTTTCACCGGACTATACTCTAGCTGTATACCAGAAAACAGAACTCGTCATAGCCCTAGCTATGAGAACCTCAGAAGTTTATATTATATATTTTAACATAGTAATCCTCCTCGGTTAGTCTTGGCGGTATCATTGGCTGAAAAGAGAGTTTTCCTGCGTTTCATCGACAGCCTCACGTTCCTTGCGTGTGACGTCAGCTTACATGATGCCTCGTTTGCTCATAGCAGACACGAAATTTAATTTTCAATGACAGTGAGGTGGAACAAATCATACTTGGCTCGTGTTTTCTGTGGTTTGCTGCATAGAATTTTAATCTGTATTGCTCCAGTTCAGAGGAACTAATATTGCAGCTACATGGACTGTAGCATAAATGGCATTAGTTTCGTAATCATTTGAATCGTACAAAGTAATATAAGCTGTTCTGATTGTAAATTTTCTATTTTTTTTTTTTATTTTATGGCCCATTGAGCGTTTATATTTCCATGAGATAAAGGAAAGTTACCTTTCTCACCACCGAACCGTGGAGGTCTGATTGTAGAGGTGGAGTTAAAGTTCAACACTAGATAGGAGCGAACAGCGCCACGCTCCAGCCGCTCTATCCCAGGGAAAGACGTCCCCCGTGTACACTAAAAAGTGAAGAGACCCAATGCCACTTCTGACATGGCACTCTGAATCTTCACAAGTCGACGAATTTTGCGTGGCAGTCTCCTACCGAGAACTCATAACTGTGTCACTCACTGTTACTGTCGTTATATAGCTTCCGCACCGACCACGCAAAAACACAGCCTTTGTTGTTGAAACGCCTTTACCGAATGATTGCATAGCAAAGGTCGTTGCACGGACCCCATAGAAAGCTAGTCATGTGATAGCTACCATGCTAGTTCATTGGCGCGCTGACTTTTGCCTAGCAACTAACTATAAACATTCGTCCTATTGTTGAGTGTGCTTACGCGAGATGTTTATCGCGCCGTTGCCTAGCGATACACATTACAATACCTTATTTAGGCCACCGCCGCTTTCTTCCAAATCCTTTCCAGTTCATCAGTCATCTTACCACCCTACGGTATGTAGTGTGTTTATATAACCCTCACACTCACGTATACACATATACACGTATTAGTTCTGTGGAACAGCTTTGTATATAATTCTCCTTTCATTATTTTTTTTTCAGATTCGGCAAGAGAAGCCATACTACATAGCTGACCCCGAAGTCGACTCACTTGTAAGTATTCTCTCCTTGATACAGCTTAATTATTAAGTATAATAGACTTAGAGAGAGTATCCATTTTCGCAGAAGGTAATAACACCTTACGAATCGCGTTACATTTTATACGGGCCTGCAAATGTCGGATACTGTGCATGGTACAGTTGTAACATTCCTTTGTTTTTGGAAATTGTCCTGTTCAGACGTCCTCTCTCCCTTAAGAATATCTGAGTAATTACTTAAAGTAAGTGAGTGCCTACTGCCAGTTAAGTAAACCCTCATATAGGCGCTTTAGTATTGGGACTTCAGTGGGTTTGTGAGCGGTTGATTCGTTACATCAGAATTATAGTGCCTTGTCAGTCAAATGACACTGATGGCTGTTTAATTGCTAATTTACGAAACGTCGTATATATGAAGTATAAGCCACACAGTAAGCTGTGTGCATTGTGATATCAATATAATGACTTATAGGCATAATGTGAAACATAACGAACATTCTGTGTGCATAAAGATGAGGCACTCCCGAAATTGTAGGTCTGAGTGATACAGGTGCACTTGGAACCATAGACACTGTCACTGGTCGAGCTGTTTTTGTTGGTTATTTAAGAGTTATGTCAGTATTGGGACTATATAACGTCGGATGGTAGTATTAATGATGAACTGGAAGGGATTTGGAAGGAATCAGTCGAGTTAATCGAGGCATTAGCCCAGCATTTACCCGAATGGACTGAGGAAAACCACGACAAACTTCAGAAAGAATACCTGGTATCCTGACCAAGAATCAGATCGAGCACTATACGAATGTATTCGGCCGTAAATCTTATTGCTTCAATATGATTTCTTTTCACCACCTTGTGGGTCTTCCTTTCTGTCCGCCGTATTCGTTTAACATGTACATTGTGAAATATTCTTAGGTCATCTTTCATTGGAATTCCTTGTTATATATTCATTATAGCTGAATGTTTGCCATTCTGTCGCCCCTTCCCCTATTTGTGTTAAATTGTAAATATATAACTCCTGTCCTGTTTAGTGTCCCTGAGTTAGAAAATCTACGTGTGTCTTCATTTGTTCTGAAATCTCAGTTGGGCAGCCTAAATTTCACACACACACAAGCTCTCGCTGACAATCACGCGCTCTCTCTCTCTCTCTCGCAGACACTCACGCGCTCTCTCTCTCGCACACACTCTCACTGACACACACACACACTCACTCACGCTTACACTTTCACACACTCTCTCACTGACACACACACACACACTCTCTCTCTCTCACTCACTGACACCCACGCCTTCACACACACACTCTCTCACTGACACTCACTCCCTCACAGACGCTCACTGATACACACACACTCTCACACTCTCTCTCACACACACTCACAGTCTCGCACTCTCTCTCACTGACACGCTCTCTCAGACACTCACACACTCAAGCTCTCTCACTGACACTCACACTCTCACGCTCTCTCTCTCTCACACGCGCGCGCACACACACACACGCACACACTCCCTACACCATAGAGAACACCTCTTTCTGCAGCTCTTCTGTTGCATGCGTGTCTTGTGGCCATTACCTATCAACGACCCTTCTTTACAGGGCAATTATTTAGCAAGCAAGCGCTGTTGTGTAGCTGCTTATTTCGCTGTCGTTGCCTAGCGACGGAGCTACGTGTCATAATATTTTCTGTACCAGAAGATGTTCCAAATATTTCGATTATCTGAATGTCAGTGGCATCGTTCATACTGAACAGTCGTTGCATTTCTAGGTTTCATGACTGGGTAAAGTTACGCAGTCGTAAAGTATAATTAAGTCACAGTATATCACCCCATGTATGGACACAGCCCAGCTGCTTGATATTAAAATGTTTCTGAATGCAGTCCCTAGACCAATATGAAGCTTCTCTCTCATGTTTCAGGTAACTTTATTCCCTTGAACGTAGAGCAAAAAGCATCATTTTAATAACGATTTTACACTTCATCGAAGGAACATCAAAATAGCAGGGAAATTATGGTGTCCTGGGTTTGAATCTTTGTCACATCATTGCGTGATATTTAAAATGATGCCACGTGCACTTAACAGAAATAAAATGAATACTTAAGGGTAGAAAAACCCTGAATAAGCTATCTTGATTAGACTTAACGTTTTATTTTTTCCTGCAGTCCATACAAAGCAGCTTTGCATGTATACTGACGTCATAAAATTCGCAGATTTTATTCCGATATGTTGAGACAACCGCAGGTGGCCTAAGCACCCTTTGGCTGGTCTCTATAGGAGCGAATGGAGCCGTAGCGCCTACATCTTACCGCGAAATGTTGCGTGAGTTGTAAAGTGTCACAGCTCTGTTTTGAAACCTTTCCCGTGAGCAACTTAATTCGCTCCGTATCTTTCCAGACAGTTTTGTTCAAATTTATAGCTTTGCCAGTGTTAAAATAGACGCTACAGGATGTGAATGACCTCTTTTCGTGATTAACACTAATTAACACTAGTTCTGCAACTAAGCTGAATGTTGTGCAGACCGCGTCTGTGGTCTAGTGGTCAGAGTTCCTGACTACAGATCCAGAGGTCACGGGTTCGATTCCCGGCGCCACCTGATTTTCTGAGAAGTAGTGGGCCTGGAACGAGGTCCACCCAGCCTCGTGAGGATAATTGAGGGGCTGTTTCAAGGTAATAGCGGCTCCGGTCTAGAAATAACGACTGTGGGGATCAGTTGCGCTGACCACGCGACACCATGTATCCGCGAAAGTTGGCACTGACTTCACCGAAAAGCGGCGGTCGCTCGGTCGGTATAGTACGCTTGTGGATAAAAGCCACGGAGTAGTTTGTTTTTATTAGAGCAGAATAGTGTGAAGGGATTATGCATTTACAACGTCGAACCCATAAATCTGAGAGAGAGAGCGATAATTCTTTGTTGGTTGTGTTCTTGTATAATAGATCCTAATTTTGAGACTCCGAATTGTGTTGGGAATAACTGTTGAATTCCTACTACGTTTTCTTCTTTATCGTAGTCCCAGTTTAGATAGTGACTCTTATTTGTATTGAATCTAGGCAGTGTACTCCGAAACGTCGGAAGAGCTACGGTACTTCATGTCACACGTTTGTTACATTTGTATTCTACAATTCTTGTATATCTTGACTGGATATATCTAAGTCCATACATTTCTTACCTGCCCTCTGAAGTGCCGGGGTTCGGTTCCTGCCATCAGTGCTATCATCCAGTGCGTCTCCAGAGTGGCTCTGGAGATCACTACAGAAAATTTGCCAAGGAATCTTCTCTTTAAATTAAAATTGTGGAGACATGAATCTGGGACAAGCTGTCCATTATATTAAACACAAAATCGATTAAGCCGTTGGAGGAATGGAGGTATAGCTCCACGCATTTTTAACCTTGGCAGTACATGAAGATGATTGTTCAGCTTCACGCCTCTGCCACTATATCATTGGAAAAAAAAAATCCTTGATATCTCTCACATAGGAGCTGGGACCGGTCTGGTCATGGTTGAGGGTAGAAAGCTCTCTGCTCTTACCTAAAATCGAATCCCGATTCCTCTGTCGTCCAGCCTGTATTTACTGAACACAGTAACTGAGGTTCTGAATGCATAGAACTTTCCCTTTACCATTCAGGCATATTAATGAATTCAGATGTACACGGTGTGTCCAGGATCCGTTAGGACTCATTTTTTTTTAAATTTTGCCCTGCAATGCCATCTGTTGGCGAGTTGTGGTGTTAAGATTCTTGAAGTTTCAGCTGTGGCTGTATATAATTTCAAAGCGCAAGCATCGCTGCATCATGTGTTCTGACCTTGAATGTAACAGTACTGTTCTGACGCTCGTCGGAAAATGGCGGTTGAACAGAGAGCCAAAATCAAATTTTATTTGAAGTTTAGCAAAACAGCCGGAGAAGCATACTAATTGATGAAAAGTGTCTACGGTAGTAATTGTTTGAGTCGCTCGAACATTTATCGATAGTATGCTGTATTTCGTGACGGCAGGGAGGACATTAAAGACGCTCCAGTTGCATCAAAGCCGAGAACAAGTCGCACTGAAGAAAATGTGAAGAAAGTGACAGAAGTCCTTTCATCAGACAGATGTGTTTCTGCAAAACTGATCGAGGAGCTTTTGGGAATACCAAAATATACTGTGCATCAAATTTTGAGCGAGGATTTGGGCAACGGAAGGTCTGGGCGCGGTTTTTACCGCACACGCTGTCAGGCGATGAAAAACATGCCAGAGTGGAACACTGCAAAGACATGTTACGGCCGGCCCAAAGTTTTAGAAAATTTACAAAATCGATTGTTACTAGTGACGAGACATGGTGTTTTCAGTATGAGCCTCTCGCAAAGCGGCGGAATGCAGCGTGGTTGAGCCCAAAGAAGCCGAAACCAAAGAAAGTGCGCATGCAAAAGAGTTGAGTAAAGACACTGCTAACCGTTTTCTTCGATTCCAAAGGAATCATTCACAAGGAATTTCTGCCAGAATGGCAAATACTGAATTCTGATTATTATCTCGGAGTCCTCAATCGTTTGTGGGCGAGAATTCTTCAAATTCGACCTGAATATCGAGAGCAAGGTTCCTGGTCGCTCCTCCACGACAATGCCCCACTCCACAAATCGAAGATCGTGCGTGATATTTTGCCCAGAAAAGGGATCACAGTCCTTGATCATCCTCCGCATTCGCCAGATTTGGCTCCAGAAGATTTGTGGTTGTTCCCAAAAGTTAAGTTGGCAATGATAGGAGACCGTCACGACACCATCCAGGACATCCAAAGGGAATGTACCACAGTTTTAAATGCGATTCCACAAAAGTAGTACAGTGACTGTTTTCGAAAACTTCTCACTCGATTCCAGCTATGTATTGATTCAGAAGGATACTATTTTGAATATAAAGAGACATATTTTGAAAATAATTGACGTATTGTATTTTTAATGAACACAGCCCTAACAGAACCTGGACACACTGCGTATATGCGTAGGCAACATTGCGGCAGTATATGAAGATTTCGAAGGTATAGGATGTTGAGG